TACAGCAATAAGAATATGTAAATAATATAATTCAGTTGATCCTGTTTTGGGATATAAGTTTATATATTAATTTTCACCTGACTGGTCTATCTGTTGGTGAGTGTGTGATATTGAAATCCCCCACTGTTATTGTACCAAAGCTTGTGGCCTATGGCCATCCTCATAACTCTAAGACAGTACTCCCTTCCTCACTTATACAAAGAAAAGTTAGTCATCAAAACACACTAGTAGAAATTACACATCATAATTATTGAAAATATAAAATAAGATATACGTTCATGGATATCTGTCTCAGCATTATTTTTTAATACAAGTAACATAAAATAACAAAATGCCCAGTAATAAATAACTATATTGTATAGTATATATAGGATACAGTATAATATTTTAGCTAAAAAACAAACAAACAAAAAACTACCCTTTACTTTTACTTTGTGAGATGTACACAAAATAAAAAACAACTACCACATGATCCAGAAATTCCAGTTCTATGTATATATGCAAAAGTTTTGAAGGTAGGATCTCTAAGAGTCATCTACCCTCCCATAATCATTGCAGCATTATTCCTGGTAACCAAAATATGAAACAACTTAAATGTCCACTGAAAGAAGAATGAATAAATAAAATATGGCATGGGGGTGAATATATATATATATATATATATATATATATATATATATATATATATTGGGTTTTTTTATAATGAATATATATATATATATATTCATTATCAAAAATGTAAATCCTGTCATTAGTGACAACCTTGGTGAACCTGGAGGACATTACACTCAGTGAAATTAAGCCAGTCACAAAATGATGAATACTGCATTATTTTTATTTTTAGATGTAGATGGACACAATACCTTTACTTTTTCTGTTTATTGATTTCAAATGCTGCATTATTTAACTTACATAAATCATCTTTTAAATAGTCAATTATATAGAAGCAGAGACTGGAAAAGCGGTTTCTAGCAGCAGTAGCAGGGAGAGGGAAATAGTTAGCATATATTCATTGTATATGAAATTTAAATTTCATAGAATGAATAAGTGCTAGAGACATTCCAGACAAAACTGTGCCTATAATAATTAGTAGTATATTGTACACTTAAATTTTTATTGAGAAGTTTGATCTCACGTTAAATGTTTTTACCACATAAACACACACAAAGATTAAGGTATATCTATCTACATTGATATAGAAAGTTTTCATGGCACACTATTGAGTGGAAAAATTTGTGATATCAATCCATGTGTTGTGGTTTTTATAAGAATATGTGTGCATTTTTATCCTGAAATGATACTGAAGAAATTACTAACGGTGGCTGTTTTTGGTGTCAAGATTGTGGGTTTACAAGTAAGGAAGGGAGCAAGATTATAGCACATTTCATAACTTCCTGATTATCTGACTCTGTTTTGTTACAAGGGTTAAAGGTGTAGCTCACTATATAGCTTGTCCAAGGCCCTAGGATTGATCTCCAGCACTGGAAAATAAATAAGTAATTAAATAAATACATGTAAAACACATGATCCTTGCTGATTAAGGAGTTTATAATCTAGTGGAGAGCTGAATAAAATTTTACAAGATTAGTTTGACATCTCAACAGCATGAACTATCATCAAAACTGAGGTTCTGGATAGGGAATGGTAGTGAATGAATAAAAACTAATGAAGGAAGCTGAATGAAGTATTACTTGAATTAGAAAACTTACCTCAACATTATAAAGACTATATATCATATCAAATGGAGAAAAACTGGAAGCCTTTCCTCTAAAATCAGAAATTAAGACAAGGATGTCCACTCTCACCACTTCTGTTCAATATATTTCTTGAAACTCTATCAGGAGCAATCAAGCAAGAGAAGAAAATTACAAATAGGAAAAGAAGAAGTCAAATTATGTGTTTCCTGATGACATGATCCTATATCTAGAAGACACAAAAAAATCCACCAGCAGTCTTCTAGAGTGATAAATGAATTCAGTAAAGTAGCTTGATATAATTTTAACGTTCATAATTCAGTATCTTTCCTGTATTTCAACAGTGATTCTGCTAATAAAAAAATCAGGAAAATCATCCCATTCACAATAACATCAAAGAAGATACATGGGAATTAATCTCACCAAGGAGGTGAAATATCTCTACAATGAAAATTACAGAACACTGAAGAAGAAATTAAAGAAAATCTTAGAACATGGCACAACCTCCCATGTTCTTAGATAGGGAGAATTAATATTGCCAAAGTGGCCCTACTACCAAAAGCAATATACAGATTAAATGCAAGACCCATCAAAATATTTGTTGTCATTCGAAAGAACTTCATCTAGGTACAAATATATAGCTCAGTTCCACATTTAGCTAAGATTTATACTTAGAAAACTCTGTACCCCGTATCAGACTTTTGTCACTTAATGTTATTTTTAAAAGAAAAGCAAAGGACCTAATTAATTCCCAGAAGTATCATTGAGATTTGTGAAAAGGCCAGAAGATTTCTGTTATATGTCAATATGACGTGAGCAAAGCCACCAAAATTATCTGGTTACTTGTGCCAAGCCTCAGTTTTCACCTAGATTTCCTGGGTTATTAGAGTTCTACTCTTTTCTCAAAATATACAAAATAATTGCCTGTCTTTACCTGAACCACAGCTAAGTCTTCAGGATGCTAATAAAATAAAGGTGCTTGAGATTCCAACAGAAAGATAAAACTGACTTTAACTTTGGTCTTACATAGAGAAAACTTCACTTTCTCCTTTAAATGTCCATTTTTCCCCTTTTCTAAATGGGTATTCAGTTTTAATTCTAATTGATTTTTATTACCTTATTTATTTTCTTAGTTAAAATATGCTCTTAGGGAGCTTTAAAAATAAACGCTCTTCCCCAATAAGCTTCTACTTAATAGGCATTGTCATAAAAGGTCGCCTTTAGCATTGCTAATGCTAAGACCCCAGCACATTTCTAGCAAATCAAATCAGGTTTTATTTAGTTCAATTTAAGGGATGAATCAGCTTTGCATGTCCTCTAAATGAATTACAAATTAATTGGCTGAGTGTGTTCAGTGTTCTGTTCATTATTCATTCCATTCTGACAGTAATACAGCTTAAACTGCAGTGAAGATTTTGGTGCAATGGAAAATTATGGGAATATTTATGTTGGCTGTTTTGATGAATTATTTGGAACTTCCTAGAATTTTATATTGTTTATGTTTTTCTAAGTTTTGAGAATTTAAGCTACACAATATTGTGCGGTTGATGTAGGATGAGCTCTTAATATGATCATCAGGCTGTTAAAAAATAAATAAAACAATTTAGGGCTATTCCTCTTGAAGACAAAAAGCTGGGATGACATGCTTTGATTCATTTATTGGGAACTTGTAATTTAGTATTTGGAAATATAATGCATGTTACTCAGGGGGGTTTTTTCAAGTAAGGAGAAAAGATATACCTAATGATCAAATATATTAATAGATACATCACTCTTGTTACTAAGCTGAGAATTCATATATTACTTTTCCTCCTTGTGGCTAAAATTAATTTAAAACATACTTGTTCCCAATTGTTTAGTATTACATCATTTTTAGACATTGTAATTTTTTAAAGTCATGAGTTATTGTTTTATATATCATTTTCCACTGTTACCAAAATATGATTTAGGAAAGATTCCATTTTAGATTTCATTTAGAAAGGAAATGTTAAAAGCCATCTATGTCTAGGAAGTGTGTGATATCGTGCCTCTCTTTTGGACCAGACAGACAGAAGGCAGCAACAGAAACTCACACCTCGTGCCATCGTTTTCAACGTTTGTATTAAACTCACATTTACAGTCAATCTCTCTCTCTCTCTCTCTCTCTCTCTCTCTCTCTCTCTCTCTCTCTCTCTCTCTCTCATACACACACACACACACACACATACACTTTGTCTTTTCTCTCACCACAAATATACAGATACACAGACAAATACACAGATATACATAGTTTCAATTAAAGTCCATTTTTGGATTTTTCCACCACCCATTGAGATAATTGGAGAATTCATAGGGATAAAGTCTGTAGAAAAAAATCAGAGCTATTTATGTTTCTAACTCTGTCATGGACTCTGTATGCCCTTATTGAATGAGTCCTTTGACCTTTATTTCCTGAAACCTTATCAGCAAAATGAAGGTCATTATCCTATCATGTTTCTAATTTACTTCCTATGGTTGCCTCTAGGATTCATTGAATTAAAACAATGTAAAGCCCTTAGTTTCTAGAATAAAAAAATTTTGAGAACAAAAAGGTTAGGTTTATTGTGAAAAATTTTGAAGCCATAAATATGTTTGCTTTCTTAGAGCTATATTATCCTCTTAAATTTTAATTACTTACCTTTAAAATTAATTACAATATAACTAGAAGGTTTGTATGGCAAATCTAGATTAATTTATCAAAAGGCACTGATGTAATCATATCTTTGGTTTTTATCTGTGTGTAGTATTTGAATGTGAATGTGTTTTATACAAAAAATGAAGAAATATATATTAAATGTTAGCAAGTATTATTTACAAATTCGGGGTGACTTAAATTCTTATTTATCTACATTTTTGACAATGAATAAGTATTATTTGTGTAATTGTAATTACTCAAAACCAACATATTAAAAATTTCTGATAAAAATCCAACTCTTGGCTAGGATTGTGGCTCAATGGTAGAGCATCAACCTAGCACATGTGAGGCCCTGGGTTCGATATTCAGCACCACATAAAAATAAATAAATAAAATAAAAATATTGTTTCCAACTACAACTAAAAATAAATATTTTTTAAAAATCCAACTCTTAATCCTAGCACATCAGATTATATTTTGGAAATAAAATAAATGAAAATACTCATTTTCAGAATAAGGAAACAGAGATTATGAAATGAATTTACCTACTATTTTACATTTAAAGTAACAGTATAGCTCACCCTGATGACCCTTTCTATAACACTGCTTTCTTTGTTTATTCTAATTTTTTAATAAAAAAATGTATTGTTTAGCTACAGGACCGTACTCAGTTCAGTGATCGAGACTTAGCCACCCTGAAGAAGTACTGGGACAATGGTATGACCAGCCTGGGCTCTGTTTGCAGAGAGAAGATTGAAGCTGTTGCAACTGAATTAAATGTTGATTGTGAAATAGTTCGGGTAAGGCATTTTCAATAATTGTCATGCTATAGTTGATGAGTGGTATAAATGAAAGCTTTAAAATACCACACAAAGTGCTAAAAACAATGCCATCAATAAAATGAAAGGATAACCCACAGAATGATAGATTCTTAAAATTATGTATTTAATATTAAACATATCCAAATATGTAAATAAATCTTACAACTCAGTTATGTAATGGCAAATACGGCAGTTAAAGATAAACAAAGGATCTGTGAAAACATTTCTCCAAGGAAGTATGCAAATGGCCAATAAAGACATGAAAAAATGTTTAACATTATTCCATAATGAGATAACCACTCAACACATACCATTATACTATAATAAAGAAGACAGACAATAACAAGTTTTGGTCAAGATTTAGAGAAACTGGAACCCTTATACACTGCTTGGCATAATGTAAAATCTTTTAGCCACTTTGGAAAACTGTCTTCAAAATTTTAACATAGAGGTATCTTAGTTCTCAACAATTCTATTCTATATAAATACTCAATTTAAAAGAAACATATATCCACCCAAAAACTTATACACATATATTCATAACAGTAGTGTTCACAATATCCAAAATGTGGAGACGATCCAGATGTCTACCAAATGAATGGAAAAACAAAATGTAGTATATGCATATAATAGAATATTATATAGCCATATAAAGGAATGAAAAGTAGACACAGCCTGCAGAATGGATAGTCCTTGAAAGTATCATTCAAAAGCAAATAAGCTAGTCACATATTATTTTACATATTATATGATTCAATTTATATGGAATGTGCAGAAAAAAAATAAGCAAATTATAGAGATAGAAGGTACATTAGGGATGTCCACACCCGAGGTTAAGGAGGACAGGGTAATGGCTACTAATGAATAGGGGTTTCTTTTTGTTCTGAATCAATCTAATTAATTTGAAAGTAGAGAATTGATATTATTGCACATATCTGTGAATCCATTGAAAATGTTTTAACTGTATACATTAAATAAGTGAATTGTATGATGTTAAATGTATTTCAGTAATGCTATTAAATTATATGAGGTAATCAGAAATAAATCTCACATATTCCTGTAATGAATGATAGATTTAAAAATATGCTGATTAATTATGAAAAACTTAATAGGGGGTTTTAGGTAGTGGTGGTGCTGGTATTTAACAATCAGCTGTTTAAGGAAAATGACATTGTGACATTATTATTTATTAATTTCTGTGGTATAAAATTTCCCACTCTAGACCAGGGGTGCACACCTGTAATCTAAGCTACTTTGGAGGCTTAGGCATGGGCATGGAGATTGAAAATTCAAGGTCAACCTGGGCAACTTAGACCTTGTCTCAAATAATTATTGCTACAAAGGCTGAGAATGCAGTCCAGTGATAAAGCACTTACACGTGCAAGCCCTTGGGTTCAATCCCCACTATTTAATAAAACTAAAAAAGATTTTCATCATAGCCAGGCATGGTGGTGCATGCCTGTAATCCCAAGAGGCTAGGAGGCTGAGGCAGGAGGATTGTGAGTGCAAAGCCACCCTCAGCAACTGCGAGGCACTAGGCAACTCAGTGAGACCCTGTCTCTAAATAAAATACAAAATAGGGCTGGTGATATGGCTCAGTGGCTCAGTGCCTCTGAGTTCAATTCCTGGTACCCCCTACCTCTCCTCAAAAAAAAAAAATATTTCCACCATAGCTGATGTGTCTTTCAATGCAAAGTTGTGAAGAGATGCTAACAAGTGAGTCTTGTTAGCAAGTAAGAACTGGCTTCAGCAAACACCAAAGAATCATCCCAAGAGATCCACAGAATAGTACTATTAAAGAACAAGTGACAAAACATAAACTTATTCTAGAAGAAATAAAGTATTTCCTCACATACATATGAAAAAAACAAACAACATAGGGAGAAATGGTGGAATACAGATTTCTCAAAACGAATGCTATTTTAAAAATAGATAATATCCTGTTTAGAGCCTTGCTCTTTCTTGTTAGAATTCAGATGGGAAATCAATTTCAATTCTGTATTTACTGAGTATGATGCTATATGTTAGTTATACTAACAAGGAGGGAGAAATGCATTAGACACTTCCTAATTTTAAGGAGCTTAAATTCTAGCAAGGATGACACAAAGATACAAATGACAGAAGAAGAATTGGAGTGGGATCATTGTATGAGAATCCTAGGTAAAAGCCAAAAAGAGGAAAGTGTAGAATATATGTCCTAATTGTCATATTTATTTTTAATTCTTTAAATCAAAGTTATACATGCATATAGCTTAAGTCATTCTATAGAATTTGTCAAAAAATGAACATTCCTCACTTCTCCACTCCTACTGTTTTCCAACAGCCAGAATCAAACACTTTCCACTCTGTTAGATGATTCATTTGTATTTACTTCCATCTATACATGATGTGCTATATTAATTAAATTTACATTTAGCTGTTAGTTACAAAAGCTCAAAGTAACATGGACTAAGACAAATAATTCCATGTGTAAGTCCAGTAGCTAGCATAGTAGTTCTGTTCTATAAAATTGAAACCATGATGCCTTCATCTTCTATTTTGTTATCCTATAATGCATCCTCTTCAAAGTCCAAAATGATGGCATATGTAATCTAAGCAGTACAACAGAGAAGGGTAAGAAAAAGTGTCAAAGGGTGTTAAAAAAAAAAAAAACACCTTTTAAAGGGTAAAACTGCCATATGATATTTGAACTTATACCCAACTGGCTAAAGATCATTCACATGGTCATCCCAAACTACAGCGAAAGCATGAATATTATTTTACTGTGACATAAATGTGCCCAGCTAAACCTGCTACTATTCTGGAAAAAGGTGAGAATAAGTATGGGGAATAGACAAGTATCTTTTCCATATCTATTTATATTGCTACTTCTTGATTTTTCAACATTAGACTTTGTCTATTCATTTTTTGAAATGCAAGGATTTTTTCTTAAAAATTCTCTTTTTTAGAATTCTTTCATTGACCATTTTATTTACATACATAATTCCTCTCCCATTATCCTCCCTTAATTTTCACCAATTTGATACTCAATATTAACATTATTATGACTATATATAAATGTGTTACATCATTCAATTGGGTTGTACAATATCAGTTTTTTCCCTTTCTGCATAACATTATTTTATTACCCTGAAGTTCATAATTTACTTAGTTTTTGTTTTTTATATTATGTTTGCTTGTTTAGATTTCTGTGTGCTTAATACTAGTATATCCTCAAACACTCTCCCGGTTTTTTATACCTCCTTTCAATTCATTCATAAACATTTGGTAGTGAAACAAATCCTGAAGCTATATTTCCTGTAGTCTTCTGATGTTTTCCAGTCTGGATTGGTTACTCTCTGCATCTGGAATACAACTTTTATTCTGAGATTCCCATTTTTATATATTTATCCTTTTGATCTACCTTCAGTAACTATGCTCAAACTATCTGTCTACTGAGTTTTTTATTTTTTTTAAATTTTCTATGAATATGTCACTGATATTAGTAAGGAATCTGTGCCATTTTCTGCCATAGAGCCTTCTTGAGATCCCCATATTGCAAGAGACAGGAGACAAGGACAGCAGCTTTTTTAAAGCATACAGTGAAAAGATAAAATATCCAGGGAATTCCTGACAAGTATTCTATCAATGACCAAAGCCATTGACATGAGAGCCCTCACTGAACCATTACTATGTGCAGAATACTGTATCCCTGAAGCAAGTCCTAATTAGAAGAAAAAGGAGGAAGAAATGATACTATTTGGGTTATATATTATCTATTATTTCTGGTGATTTTTGAACATGTCAGGATGTTTATGTCAAGGAGAAAAGGTGAAGAGGTCATGTGTTTTAAGAGGGTTTCTTTATAATATCTGGTAAATTACACTAAAGAAGAATGTGTTTGCCATACAATATATTCTCTAGATTTCAGGAAATCACTTAGATGTTCTAAAATCTAATATACCTTCTAGTTATTGATGACATTATGATAGTTATTGATAACAAAATCTTTGCCACAGGCTGTTAACCATTACTCACAATATAATTTGGAAATTTTAGATTTATTTTTCCTTTTTATATAGTTGTTCCCTGTGCTTATTCATGGGAAGTATGTTCCAAGATCTCCAGTGGATTCCTGAAGCTGCAATTAATGCCAGATCTTCTATACACTATGTTTTTCCATACATGTATGCCTATCATTAAGGTGATTTCAAAATTAGATACAGAAAGGGCTCAAAGATGGCAGAATAAAGACACTCAGTACTAGTTTGCTTCTCCACAGAATAGAAACAAAGTTAACAGGTGTGTAACTGCTTGTGTGAGCACTAGAAATTGACAGCACAGAAAACAAAACTTGGTGAATTCCATAGATTATGGAAAACAGTGAAACAAGAGAAGAGAAACAAGCTAGCACCTGGTAACTGGCACTTCCGTTGGGAGAAAAACAGTTTCAGGTAGAATGCTGCATCTTGCATGCCAATAGCTTAAATAAAAAGGTGACCTGAAGTCTTCACAACAAGCTAACTTTAGAGAAGAATTTCACTGCATCTTTCAGCAAACTCTTAAAGTACTATATTCAGCAGCCATCTTGAAAAGAATTGTATTGTCAGAGACCAAACTACTTTGGGGATAAGATAACTCAGCAAAATCACATCCCAGTGCCCCTGTGGACACTCCACTGCATTGACTGAGCAGGAGTAGCCATGCTTGAGAGAAAGTCTCTGACACAGACCTGCTGAGAGATTTATGTTGCATGGAATGCAGGCTGTGACAAGAGACAGAAGTGGAAGGCACAGTGGTTCAATTATACTGCCATGTGTGGTTTTGCATGTGGTGGGGCAGGACTGAAGGCACCAAAATCAAGAGTAGCCAATCACAGAACCCAATGGTTCAGTTGCTCCTTCCAGCCTCAGAAGCATTCTGAGGATCTTTCATGGCTTTGACATTTACCACAACCTCTAAGTGCATAGACAAAAACCTCCAGAGCAAATACACACTCC